CAATTTATAGTCATAATCAACTCATAAATCATGCTAAAACACATTATATCCAAAGAATCATTTGAGCATTTGAGTATTTGATTTTCAAATCTTTAAACATATAGTTTACCTCAATTTTAAAAGCATTTGAGCATTCACTACAGCTTCTGACGGCTCCAGAATGGCGACGGCGGAGAAACGAGCTCGGATTAACCAAATGCAGATCGGCGACGGCGACGGCAACAATGGAGGAGGGGAGATGAGAAAAAGGGTCGTGGGTTATGGGTGAAGGAGAGAGAGTGGGATTTTTTTTTAAAAAAAACAATTTCTGATTAAATTCATTAAGGGTAAAATCGGTAATTCAGTGATAAGAGCGGTATGTAGATTATTGAGAGATATATGAGATTATAATTTGAGAGAGAGGGGCATATGAGATCAAATCTCTTCGTGGACAGCTATATGTAGCACTATCTAGAGTTAAGTTTAGATCTGTACTTAAAATTTTCATAACATACAAAGAAAGAAATGTGCAAAAGAAAACTATGATTGTCATCTATAAAAAGTGTTTAAAATCTTGGTTAGTTTTTATAATTTTGATATATTTTAACTCTACTTTTTATATATTTTAATGTTTTCTATTTATTTAGTTATCATATTTATACTTTATATTAAATTTTATAACATTTTTCATTTAATCTACATTATTAAATGTTCATATAATATTATTACTTAAAATATAAGTTATCATATGCAATTAGTAATAAATCAATATATAATATTAATCATATATTAAACATATATAATGTTTTATAGTCTGCACACTGTGCGGACCGATCACATAATATTAATATAAGTTTATAAATACCAGAAAATACTTTTATCCTATTAGCACTTTAAATCAAAATACTAAAACTAATTGAATGATAAACTTGTATTAGTTAAGATATCTAATGTCATGTAAATAAATCCTATAATATCAAGTATATTCCGAAAATTAGTTTTTCCTATTAGCATTTCAAATTAAAATACTTAAAACAATAGAATGATATGTTTATGTATGTATAATGACCAATGTTAGTTTTATTTTTTTAAAATAAATTATATTGTCATATTGCTACCATTTTTAATAGAAATATATGTTTGTTTTTCTATACAAATATATGTTGTGGATATAATTGAGCTAATCATGTGTTAGATATTTTAAAAAATCTAAGAATTAAATTGATTGAGATAATAAATTCTGCATATTTTTTTCTAGACTACACTTCTGCCTATTCTCATCCAAATAATTTATTTTTTGCATATTTTTTCTCAAAAGACAATCTAACCAAAACCCGATTTCATAAATTTGATCGTGATTTTAATTTTAATTTGGAAAAATATGCAGATAACAATTTATTTGGATAAAAATAGGTAAAAATCTATAATTTGAAGAGAATTAATTCGACGACATAGGATTGACGGCAGTCAACTAATTTGTTTACACACTTAACTTTTTATTTTTTAAATAAATAATAGAGATAACTACATCTACACTCACTTTTTTCCATTTTCATTACAAGTTTGCACACATTGAACATGTGGCACACTTTTTCATTTTATAAAGACTAATACACCCTTCTTTTTATTATACTCTTATGGTAACTAATTCCTATTTTTACTATTTCTGCCAAAAAAATAACATTTTGCTCTTCCGCCATTATAAAAATAAAACAGTGCCGAATAAAATCTTAGTTTATCACCGACACTGTCAAAGTTCACCGGAAACTTTTACACCACCGATAATCCGAAGGATGAATCCATCTTAGTCCATATTAAACAAATCTGTCAGCGCTCATATCAGAATCTGGAAAATTCTAATCATATAAAACTTGAATTCTTACTTCAATGACATACAAAACTTAAAAACCACGGTTCACACAATGATTTTAACCATAGATCTCAGATCTACTCTGATACAACCACCATCGTCTTCGTAGTTCTCCGTATGGAAGGTGAAGGGGTTCCTTGTTCACCGATATTGAGATGCATGTACAATACTGTGTGGACAAGATGGCATGGACAAAGTTCCAAAAAAAATCTAACTCTTCTCTATTCAATATCATAAGCATTGTCCATGCACTTTTACCCACACATGTTCGACTATGTAGATACCATCGCCTAAGTTATTGAACTTTCATTCTTAGTTTAAGTTATACACGAGCTTGTGATTTGCTTTTTTCACACACAAACACTTGTCCACAACTCAATATGAAGCTAAAGATTTTGAACTATGGATGATTAAAGTGTGCACAACCAACTATGGACAAACATGGCATAACTAAATTGTGTTCCATGAAGTTCTTTCTCCATCAGAATTGGTACAAATTATACTGATTCAAATCAAACATTTGTCCATGATTACAAATTCTACTAATTCACAATATGAACCTTTAGCTAAACCATATTAGATAGACAAAATTAAGCCGTTGTTAGTTCTGTATTGCACAAAACAAGATGGACATGGACAAATTTGGATGAACAAAATGATCATAGACATGTTTCGATTAATAAAAACCAGATGGCTGCATGGACATGTTTGGATGGACAAATGACCATGAACACATATGGATGGAACAAAATAATCACATGCATTCATATTTCAAATCACAATCTCGATTGTGAGCTTCTGTTGTTTGTTCCTGCTACTATTATTGTTCTTTTTCTTTGTTTTTTAGACTACAACCATCAGTGAGAACACTCTTATTGTTTAGAATCTACGATTCACAGACTTTGTTGTTGTTGTGTCCATGATCGTCCATCCACAATTGTATGTCCACGATCATCCATCCATGACCGCCCGTCCACTTATTATGGTCGTTACAATCTTTCCAAATTCTGTTTTCATTTCAACTATCCAGGAACATCCGTCCATACAATCAATTACTGTTCATCGTCTTCTAAACCAAAACCTAGAATTTGCTTCAGAGATAGATCGAAACCACCAATCTTTTAACTCAATAATGAGTATGCAATATACACATATTCAGATCTCATACTCTCTGAAATCAAAACAAAACATTAACTCAAACAGCAAATCAAATACATCCAAATCTAATATAAACTTAGAAATCTTCAGATTTCACTAAATCTACCTAAGTGGTTAATTCAAGATTAATATAAATTGTGATGGTATTGGCTGGCGGAGGTGATGATGAAATTGGCAAAGATATAGATCAGATCGGCGATGATGATGAGGTGGTGAAGATGATGATGACCTCGATAGAGAGAATATGATGTTGTGGTTAATAACCCGCATGCTGATTTAGATCAGATCGCCTTCGATGGAACCCCCCAAGTGCCTTCGCATGGCCTGTTGAAGTAGACGACCCCAAGGTGGATCACTTGGAGATGCTTACTGTAGAGGGTACATGATTTTGTAGAGATATGTTTGTTGGAGGTTAGAAAGGTGGTGCTCCACCGACACAACCTGCGGTTATACAAAGTCAGAAACGTGAAGGGAAAGATACGGGGAAAAAAAGTCCGGCAGGGCTTAAGAAAGTCAAGGAAGGTAGGAAATCAACAAAGGCTCGGCAGAACGATGAAAGTGTGCATAACACGATGGAGATGATATCAGCTATCTTAATCTTGCAGTCTCGTTTTTTCCTGAACACCCAGCCCAGATATAACTCATCTCCCTCATATACCACATCCAATATGACATTCTCTGTTTGATCCAATCATGTGAAAACCCATTTGTCAAATATACTAGACGTCTATAACCTATTGTACACGTTTATTTAGTATTCTTTTAACAGCCATTTATATATCTGTCCATTATATGTAATGACACCCCACCAATATTAATAGACAGTTATATAAGCTCGTAGATTAACATATATTATAGATGCATGAGCAAGATAAACATCTATGAAAGAAAATAACACACTATAATATAAATTATCAGTACATGATCCGTTGCGCACATATAACAAACTAAGAAATAACATAACCACTTTAAAATGATATATCACTCCACTAATGTTAATAGACATCTACGATACACTTATATCATCACAAATCCCCATCATTTCAAATAACTGGTTACAATTCCATCACCGTCCATCCACTTCGGCATCTCGTACGTAAGCTCGATATTCTCCTCATCCATGTCAAAAGAAGACAAAAAGGGTTCAATATATCAGGGGTTACGTGCAGATATGGTTGATCTATGACACTTTGTGGATATCTATTTCCTTGGGTAAATGGGCACATGAAAGTAGATCTGGGTTTGATCGGCGATGTTTGTAGTTGTCTATGTACGGATAATGGATGCCTATTAAAGGAAGAGGATTGCGATAGCATAATATGTGTTCTACTCATAACCCCGTAAACGAGAATTGATGAAAAACCCTTGACCCTATCTAACCAATTGCATGTTGTGTCGGTTGGGTCACAAGAGTAGATAAGACCAAATATCGGAGGAGAAATACCACAACGAGAAATTTTATAACCAAATCACAATTGAAGGCCGAGAACACCAAAGACGGAGGGCAACGATAATCGTGAGCCAAAACATCGGAAAACTAAAATGGGGTTAGGCGTATAGGAGCGGAAGTTCAGATTACCTCAATTACCAGTGTTCGGCGTCTGAGTCTCAGAAAATCAACGGCGGAGATGATTTGCTCCTCGGGAACAGAAATACTGGGAGACTGATTGAAATCGGTTAACTAGCCTACGACAGGCAACGAATAAGAACAGCCGAAGTGTTCCGGCCACCGGAGGTTGCGTGGGGATAGCAAATTTCTTTGTAGAAGCTATTTGAGTGGTCGGAGTCAGAAAAAGATAGGGGTTTCTACTGGACGTTTACTTTGCCTTCGACAGTCGATGTAGAGAAACAGATTTGAGGGTTCAGACAACAAAGAGACGCGGGATATATTAAATACATAGTTACTCACACTAAAATCGGACATAGTTAAAGCTTTCTAAATATAACTAACCAACAAAATATTTTATTAGAACATAGTACCCCACATATGTTGATGGAGGGGTGCGAGAACAGGTTGCGCGTGAGGGTATCTTTGGCAAAAGGAGTAGTGAAATATTTTAATGCTCGAACTCAGAAAAACTATAGTCAATTTGTTAATTCACTACCAGTATTCAGTGGTATTTCTCAAAAAAAATATTACGATTTAGCAAAAACAAAATATTTTTCTTTTTCTAATTATTTACATAGCAAACCACGTTCCCTTGCCCATATGTCGTCACTGTGACGTGAATCGTGGCTCTTTTTCGCGACGTTTGAAATGTTCTCAATCGAATCAAACTACCCGATTTGGGCTAAAATCGAATTCGAATTCTGACTATTAGAACTTCAGGCAGATCGAAATTCGATTCATCATCATCTTCTTCTCCGCCTCGATCGCTCTTCTCATCGGTAAATTTTGTCCCTTACCTTAAATCTTGATCTGTTTCCCACTCTTTTGCTGCTCCGATACGCGAATTGATTATAAATCGATCGATTCCTCCGTGTTTCTGTTTGAACGATTGATGTATTGAGAGATCGTCATATTGTCCTGCATGATTCGGAAATTTGGTGTTTTGTTTCTCTCAAAAATCGCAGAACTGTTCTTTGTTTCGGAGTCATCATCATCAGGTGCACGCAAAGGTGGGAAGAGTATTGGCAAGAAACCGGATCACACGGTAAGCTCGTCTTCAAGTATAAACTCAAACGGATTCCGGGACAGCCCGAGCTATCGTGGAAAGTGGTGAAGCAAACGAAGAAGTCGGAGAACCGTGAAGGTTTGTGCAGGCTTGACATCTCAGAAGGGCACGAGAGGTTACCGATTTGCGCGGTGAACGAAATCGACGACGGCGAGCTTTCGGAGGATAAATAAGCTGAGAGAAGAACAGGAAACGACGAGTATCTCTTTGACATTGGGAACAAGTAGATGTCGAAGGGATGTCGAAGCTAATGCCAGGGATGGAGAAAGAGAAAGAAGAAGAAGATGGCGGCGATGTGGTGAGACGGCGGGGTTCACCGTGGACGCCGCGAAGAAAGGGAACATCGGGAGGTTTATAAACCATAGTTGCTCGCCGAATCTGTATGCGCAGAACGTGTTGTATGACCATGAAGACAAGAGGATCCCTCACGTGATGCTGTTTGCGATGGACAATATACCTCCGCTTCAAGAACTCACTTACCATTATAACTACATGATCGACCAGGTGCGCGATGTTAACGGTAACATCAAGAAGAAGATTTGCTACTGTGGTTCTTCTGAGTGTACCGGTAGGCTCTATTAATCGATTTAGCCTCAAACTTTTTCTCCCCTGTTTTAAACTCAGATTCTTCTTGTTTTATGTTATTCATGAACAGTTCATGTTATACCGTAGAATCTATATAAATTAATATACCATATAGAAGCAGCTAAGAACAGAACAGATGTAAGAATCATTGATGTTTCTCTCCAGCTATACAACAACAATGGAGCATTTTGGTTTCTGTTTTGTTCTTTCAAGTATTGGCGATGTCAGGATGCATTATGATATATTTACCATAATGCTTTCTAGTGTAATGGTAAATATATCTCTTTTGATAAATCCTCTTATGATTGGACCTAACTATGTATAGTCATGAATACTTTTGTGCTATAAATACATAGACATACTAACATTGGCTAAAGAAAAAGTAAAAGAGAAAAACAGAGTAACCGGAAACAATAACTGAAATCAAGGCGCTGATAACTGAAATGGGTTGCCTTCTTCCCCAAGCTTCATTTTCTTTCTCAAAGATTCTTCAACTTGGGTTTACGAAGGCTACACAAACAAAATATACGTTAGTTTCACTTATTCATTCATCCAGAAAGCTCTATTATAATATATTTTTTCAAATTCAGAAACATTACCTCTCTAGTTAGCTGTAGTGCTTCTTCTTCTTCTGTGTTTATTTCGACCAAAAGGACTCGTGAACAACTCTGGTTTGTATGAAACCAATATGTATCCAATCGTCAACCCAAACGCAATCCCATGTACAAATCCTATTGCAGCTGCAATCCAACTAAACACCTCTTCATCTTCTTCTTCTTTTGGTTCTGGCGTTTCAGACTGTTGCGATGAAGGCTTGTGGATATCTCCGCAATCATCTTCAAGAGCAGGGCCGAAAAGTCCCGGGTTGTCTCCGAATGAAGAGCAGTTCTGCCTTGGAAACTGAGTTCCTCCTGGTACGAGAAGTTCATGTACTCAAGGAACGAGAGATTCCCTAGCTCTTGTGGAATTTCTCCTGAAAGCTTGTTTTGAGAAACGTCTAGTGACTCGAGAGCTGTAAGGTTCCCCATGGACGATGGTATGTGGCCACTGAAAGCGTTGTTTGACAAGTTGAGAACACGAAGCTCTTTCAATAAGCCGATGGACTTTGGAATCTCGCCTTCAAGTTTGTTTCCAGAGAAGTCGAGTGCTGTGTAGATTTTTAGGATACGTTCCAGCTCCATCTTTGTTCCTTTATTCACCAAAACTATTGAGTCATGGTAATAGCCTGATTTGTCTTCCATGTAACCTACGTTCGACTGATCTTCATGAATCCCAAGTGATGACATTGAACTCCAGTTGATGAAGTAATCAGATGGCAGAGTTCGGCTGAAGTGATTTTCAGCTGAAAGAATGAGGCTTGATGTATTGGTCCATGGAATGCATTGGAGCGTAAGACAAGAACTTGCAGGTTCTGTAGAGAACTCAACCAGAAGGGAAACGTGTCGTTGATTCTGTTGCTTTCCACATTCAGAACTTCAAGAGTGGAGAACTGAATCAAAGATCTTGGAAGCTTTCCCACCAATTGGTTACTTCCAAGGTCAAGCGTTCTTAGACCTTTAAATACATTCTTCGGAAGACCTCCACTAAGACGGTTCTGTCGTAGGTTCAGAACTGAGAGATTTCTCTTGAGATTTCCCATACATAGAGGGATTGAACCATTGAAATTGTTGGTTGATAAATCGAGAATGGTTAGAGAGTGAAACTCGCATATGAGAGAAGGAATCTCTCCTGTGAAGTTGTTTTTAGAGCCAAACAAGTACTCCAGGGCAGAGGATAGTCCAAGTTTCGTTGATCTTTCAAAGTTGACGAAAGTGTTGTCGGAAATTTGGTGTTTTGTTTCCGCGAAATCTTAGCTTAGAATCATTGAAAACGAAAATCTCGCTTAGGATTTGAACATTCGTGTGCTGTGGTTTTTGATTTTCCAAATTGTTCATTGTTGCAGGACAAATCTGGTGAATTTTTGCTTCATGGAAAAACATTGGTGTGCGTCTTTTTGATGAGTAGTGGAAAACATGGTGAACACAGAGTCATCGAAAGTTAGTTCATTGAGCAAAAGTAATGTTTCTGAGCTAACGAGGAAGAAAACTTGGAAAAGCGAGATGATGATCAGTTGAAATCCATTGATAAGCAGCCTTGTAATGATGATATTGAGAGCAGAAACAAAAACAGAGAACAATAACTTTGAAGATGAAAGCTTTGGTCAAAGAAACACCATTTTCATTACTTGCTTTGTGAATATACAAGTTGTTCCTTTATATAGAGGAAACGCAAAACCCTAAAGGAAAGAGAACTAAACGTTAACAAGAACATTCATTCACTTGATGCCCAAGAAAGAGGAATGTTCAGCCTCTGAGCATTTGTTTGCTGGATTGGTCCTTTTGAAGAGCCAAACGTTGTGAAGACGAAAGAGCAGGGACCACGAGTAAGCGGTCTGGTGGTAGCAGAAGACAGGCGAAGAAAGGGATGCGGCTGCACGAAGCGATGCACGGAGAGTAGAAACTGGAGAATTTTGGTTTCTGTTTTGTTCTTATGAATTGTTATGGTAAATATATCTCTTATGAATTATGATTGGACCTTAACTATGTATAATCATGTCCATCAAATAAACAGAAATACATTTGTGCTATAAAAGAGAAATATTAGCTAATGACAAAGTAAAAGACAAATACACAGGAAAGAACACAACAAAAACAGAGTAACGGGAAACAATAACTGAAATCATTTAAGACACTGATAAATGGGTTGCCTTCTCCCCCAAGCTTCTTTCTCTCCGGTCCATTTGGTTTGGTTGCAAAAGATTCTTCAAGTTCGGTTTACGAAGGCTACACAAACAAAATATACGTTAGTTTCACTTATTCATTCATCCAGAAAATTCTATTATAACATATTTTTTCAAATTCAGAAACATTACCTCTCTAGTTAGCTGTGGTGCTTCTTCATCTTCTGCGTTAGTTTCGACCAAAAGGATACGTGAACCACTCTGGTTTGTATGAAACCAATATGTATCCAATCGCCAACCCAAATGCAATCCCAGGTACAAATCCTATTACAGCTGCAATCCAACTGAACACCTCTTCATCTTCTTCTTCTGGTTCTGGCGTTTCAGACTTTTGCGATGAAGGCTTGTGGATATCTCCACAATCATCTTCAAGAGCAGGGCCCAAAAGTCCCGGGTTGTCTCCGAAGGAAGAGCAAGGCTGCGTTCGAAACTGAGTGCTTCCTGGTACTAGACCTACAAGCTGGTTATGGGAGAAGTTCATGTACGAAAGGAATGAGAGATTCCCTAGCTCTTGTGGAATTTCTCCGGAAAGCTTGTTTTGGGAAACGTCTAGTGACTCGAGAGCTGTCATGTTCCCCATGGACGATGGTATGTGGCCAGTGAAAGCATTGTTTGACAAGTTGAGCACGTGAAGCTCTTTCAATAGGCCGATGGACTTTGGAATCTCGCCTTCAAATTTGTTTCCAGAGAAGTCGAGTGCTGTGAAGATTTTCAGGATACGTTCCAGCTCCATCTCTATTCCTTTATTCACCAAAACCATTGAATCGTGGTAATAGCCGAATTGATCTCCCATATAACATTCTTTAGGCTGATCTTCGTATATCCCAAGTGATGACATTGAACTCCAGTTCTCAAAATAATCAGATGGCAGAGTTCCATTGAATTGATTGTGTGATATGTCCATGATCTTCAGCGTAAGGAATATTCCTTGATGTATCAACCCATGGAATGCATTGGAGCGCAAGACAAGAACTTTCAGGTTTTGTAGAGAACTCAACCAGAACGGAAACGTGTCGTTGATTCTGTTGCTTTCCACATGCAGAGCTTCGAGAGCGGAGAAATGGATCAAAGATCTTGGAAGCTTTCCCACCAGTTGGTTATTTCCAAGGTCAAGCGTTCTTAGACCTTTAAATACATTCTTCGGAAGACCTCCACTAAGACGGTTCTGACGTAGGTTCAGAACTGAGAGATTGCTCTTGAGATTTCCCATACAAAGAGGGATTGAACCATTGAAATTGTTGGTTGATAAATCGAGAATGGTTAGAGAGTGGAACTCGCATATGAGAGAAGGAATCTCTCCTGTGAAGTTGTTTTTAGAGCCAAACAAGTACTCAAGGGCAGAGGATAGTCCAAGTTTCGTTGATCTTTCAAAGTTGACGAAAGTGTTGTTGGAAAAATTCACGTACGTCAGATTTGGTAGCGTCCATAACCAGCCAGGAACTTGACCTTTGATTTCGTTGTTGGAAATGTCTAGAGTCTCCATACGCTGCTGGGTTCTCAGAAGTTCTGGAAATTGGGTAATACCGCAGCCTGACAAGTTTAAATAAGATATCATCTGTGAAGGAGAATCTGAAACTGAACTTTTGTTGTTTGTGGCTAAAACATGGTTTCCCGAGAGATCCAATACTTCAAGCGACTTGGAACATGATAAGATTGCATGCAAGTCAATCGTTGTTGTGGTGTTCAAATGGGAGAGGCGAAGATACTGGAGCGACTTAAGATGCGAGAAGATACTGAGGTCAACTGGGCCTTGGGTGTTCCAATGGGAAAGCTCAAGATACTCAAGATTTACTAATTTGGAAATGGATCCAGGGATTGGCCCTCTGAAGTTGTTACCGTCAAGGAATAACCATTCTAGCTTAGATGGTGAAGATATATTCCCAAACTCAAGAGTGCCGTTGAGTTTGTTATCTGACAAAAATATATGTGCCAAAGAAGGAATGTTAAAGAGAGAAGAAGGAACAGTTCCAACAAAATTGTTATCATATGCGTCAAAATACTCCAAGTTGGAGAGTGAGCTAATGTTTGGAGGAAGCGTTCCTGTGAGTTGATTGGAGCTCACTGATAAATACGACAACTTTGTCAAATTAAGTAGCGCAACAGGAAAGTTACCACTAAGCTTAATGGATCCTAAACCTAAGTCCGTCAACTGTTTCAAACTGCCCAAAGAAGATGGGATTTCACCATCGAAATTGTTATAACCCAGGTTAAGATATTCGAGACGAGAGAGCTTTGTAATTGAGGATGGAATCTGCCCCGAAAACTGATTATTAAAAAGGGAGAGAGAGGTGAGATATGTAAGGTTTCCAATTGAGGATGGAATCTGACCAGAAAACCGATTAACAGAAAGGCGGAGAGATGTGAGATTCGAAAGAGTTCCAATTGAAGATGGAATCTGGCCAAAAAGATGATTACGAGAAAGGTTGAGAGAGGTGAGATGAGAAAGTTTTCCAATGGAGAATAAGATTTGACCATAAAAATCATTATATGAAAGGTCTAGAGAAGATAGAAAACGAATGTTTTGAAAGGTGTTCGAATGAAACCTGCCATGGAGGCAGCTGCAGCTGAGGTCTAGCTCAATCACTTCCCCAGATTTGGCATCGCATGTGATACCATCCCAATAACAACAATCACTGTTATTTCCCCATGACTCCGTCTTCGGATGAGGCTTTACAAAGCTACCATTAACATAACAGTCATAAGAAAAAGAAGGCTTCCCAATCTCAAACTCGTTCTTGAACTGGAGAAGTGCATCCCTTTGTTCAGGACGACACACATGTCTAATAGGAACCGCAGACACGTTTTGAAAATAAAATATGAGAGAGAAGAGAAAAGAAAAAGTAATACGAATGGTCCTCATTGAGTTGCCAGAGCCTTTCGTTCTTCTTCTTTAAGCTAATTTAACTTTCTTCAATACCAATAATGAAGAAGCCAAAGATGGAAATGGTGATAATAAAACATGGTTTCATGCCCATCTCTTTATATACATTGCATATAGAGAGTGCTCCAGATTCACTCAGATTGACTCACCATCAAGTCTTTGTACGAAGTGTTATTCACGTTGAGCAAACAGAGTGAATGTATTTGTGTTCCAAACATTTTGGTCCAACCAAATTAATGAAAAAGAAATTAGATAATACATTACAAAAGAGTAAAGAAGAGACGATATGCTATGGGTAATGATAATCATGTGGTCGATGTAAGGAGAGCTCTCAGGATGAAGATAAGGTTGAAAAAGAAATTGTTGGAGTTCAGAGCAGAGTTGGCTTACTTTTCAAGTCATCGTCTTTTGTCTTTTCCCCCGTGAAACAAAACTGACTAGTCAATATTGCTGAATAGTCAGAGAAATCTATGTGTTTGTTTGTTTGGTTTCTTTTGTCATGATACATTTTTTCTTTGTTCGAGTTTGATTTATATGATTTGTTTTAATTGCGTCGTGATACTAAACATAAGTTAATCTAATCGATTAAAAACTATGATGCGCATTATGGACAGAAGGCATGCAAATAAATTATTTTGAAAGCTCTGCAACACCAACAAGAAGCCAAAGAGAATAAGTATTATTTCTTCTTGGAACTGAGATGAAGTAGCGCTTCCTTGCAACACAAGCATCTATTACTGTGCCTCTATCTCATTTGTCACAGTACCTGTGATTGTTTTAGCTGTCTGGTAGACAAAATCAGGAAGGAAGGCAAGCCAGAATAAAGAAGACTTTCTTTTTTTTTCACTATATAAAAAAAAGGAAATATACTATTTATTGATTCAATAGAGTAAACGACTATAGTACTTATTAGTTTGTTTTCCTAGCAAGATGTATCCAAAATGGTAATGTTCCAAGTTTTCCCACACTTTATACAAACAACTCTTAAGAAATTTTGATCATCATCGACAAACAATTTTGCTCTGCATTTATTTGTTATAATAAAAACTATATTTTAGATCAATGGTATTTCATCCAGGTAGCTATATCAATGGTAACGATTTTATCATGTGTTTTAGGAAGGCGGTACATGAGAATTCATGAGAAAGCAGAAGATCTTTCTTTAGAGAATAATCAAGTGAAAGAAGACGACAAAAACAAGAACATAAATCCAGAAAAAAATGATATCGAGAAGAATTTATAGGAAAAAAAGATAAAGAACTGAGAAGAAGCACAATGATCACATTCTATACAACCAAAAAAAAAGAATTATACAGCCTGAAACGTGTAATTCAAGTTTTTCCATGCAAATTTGAAGCTTTTGTGTGATATTTGGCTCATTGTGTTTTGTAACTGTACAAATACACACAGATTTCTCTACTTTTGCTATATAGTATTTATTCATTTATGGAGTTACAATCGATTGTTCTTGCCTCCTCTGCTTCTCACTTTCACTTTCTTCTCCATTAAACCGATCTACACTGTTTATGAATATCCCTGCCAAAACAAAATTCGCAACAAAAACAGCTTCTTGATTTGGAACAAGAAAGATTTATCTAGGTTCAAGAATTGAGATTTGCTTTTTACCTATAAACCATATTGCAGCAGCTAAGAACAGAACCGATGTAAGAATCAATGCTGTTTTTCTCCAACTGTTGATATGATCCTGCACATACAACAACAATGGAGCATTTTGGTTTCTGTTTTCTTATACTCATATTGGCGATGACAAGAAGAGATCTTTTTTTTTTACCTGAACTATACCGACAAGAGGAGAAGAAGGAACATCGCCAAATATGTGAATCGCAACGGTAGAGATAGCCATTGATAATGGTCTCAAACTTGGTTCCACACAATGTAAACACACATAATTCACAGGAGCCTGAAAGAAGAAGAAGATAAACGAATATGTTCTTGTTCTTGTTCTTGATAAGAAACATAACAATATTACAACACTAAGGCTCAAAGTTTTTTTACCTGTGTAGCAAACACAAGAAGCTCTCCTAAGGCAAAGAGAGCGATGAAACCGTATAAACTCTTTAAGGTAAATGCAGTGAAGCAAAAGATCGCTCCAAGAAACGTTGCTCCAGATAAAAGCTGCACACAAACGTATCGATCAAAAAGGTTTTGATTCAAAATCCGAAAACAAGAAGAGAGAAAAATGCTTTTTCGTCTCCACCTTGAAAGCATTTGGAATTGTTGCGGTGACACGATCGAGTATCAACCCTCCTGATAATGTCCCAATGATCCCACAAATGATATCGGCGTTTTTCTGACAAGATAAAGTTTCTTATCAGAAAACAAAGTTTCAAGAACCCTCAAGAAGAAAGATTGATAGCAACAAAACAAATGTTTCACCATTTTGTAAATGTTATAGCCAGCCTTTGGTCCCCAATATGAGTATGCTCCAATAACAAAGTTGTATGATACATAACCTGTTAAGACCAGTTTATATCAATCAATGAAGAAGATAAAGTAAGAAGAATAGTGGAAAGTAAAGAGGACAAAAAATTATTACCTAAGACATTAACAACAAAGACCTTTTCTTTACATAGAACTATCATATCTTTCCCAAATTGAGTACACGATTTCGAAACTGCGTTCTTGTAACTTGACCTGTCACAGTTGAAGTAAAAAGATTTGATAAAACTAATACAAAACGTATGGAAGAACATTTTTAAGATAAATGAAATCAAACTCACTTGTAAGTTTCAATGGAGACCGCAATCTCATTACCACCAACTTGAAGATGATTATTGTTTTTAGATGTCTCTGCGTCTGCAAAATAGACAAAACTCTCACTGCACAACTGTGTAATCAAGGCACATTATCATTAACATACAAGAAAGGTGAAAAATTTTACCATCTGATGAAGCCATCTTTATAGAATCAGTAGAAGGAAACCCTGTTTCATTTTTCCTTTCTCTGATCAATATCTTTAACAGTTCATGCTTGAAAGTGAAACAGAAGACAGAATCTGTTCTTAACCTTTTAACTGTAGAGGTTTCATCAAGAAACCAAGAACAGCAAATGGAGCCATTAAAACAGCTTCTCCCCAAAACGCATAGCGCCAACTAAAATGTTTTCCAACCTAAAGAATCAACAAGAAGGAATCACAACATTCTTTAATATCATTAGTCTCAACAATACTAATTCATAAAGGTTTTATACATACGTATCCGCCATAGACATAGCCCAAAGCAACACCACTTGGTATACACATGTAAAACACACCAAGCCCCACAGCTTTCTGAAGAACAAGCAAAAGGGTTTAATCAGAAATGGACTCCATAAGATGTGCAAAAAAAAGGTTAAAAGAGAAACCTGTTTGTGAGGAGCATTATCATCTATAAATGGAGCTGCAAGATGATGAAAGAAGCTTCACCTACACCAACGAACCTATCCAGTAATAATAGTCATACAAATCAAAATTTGGAGAAAACAAAGTCAAACCATAAACAAGAACAAAACTTAACTTACATGCGACATAAGACGATAAACCAAAAGGCAAAGGAACTTCCACAACCAAGAACTGCAATAGTCCAAACAGTTAAGCCTACTCCAATAAGTCTAAATGGATTGAAACTGCACTAAAAACAATAAACCACTTCAATAAGCTGTATTTTGTTTAAGCATTAGAAGAAAAAAACTGAAAAATGTTTCCTAACCTTTTTGCTAACTAAGCAAAGATTGGTGATGCAATAAGAAGTCCAACCATAAATGAAGATGACAACACACCATCTTCGAAATTACTTAGATTGAAATGTCTTCTAGAAGAAGCAACAAAATTGACTAAAACATAGCACTAAATATTAAAAAGCTCTAGGCCTTAAACAACCAAACTCTTACTGAATCCCAGTTGCAGGGTTGCATTTGCCCTTATCATTACAAGTCCTGATATTTCCATTGAAACCATTGCTCGCTATAGCACCACGATCCATGTAGTTTAACAAGTTAATGATGCAGAAGATCACAAGTAACCTGAAAAAAAAAAGAGTTTTGATGAAGATAATGACGCAGCAAAGAAATACAGAGTTCTGTGTCAAAGACCAAACCAGTATCTTTTGCATATATAGAATTGAATGCAAAGAGATCAAAACACACAATCACAAATGAGATTCAGAGTCTTAAACAGAAAAACAAAGACAAATCATGGGAAAAGATTTCAACTTTGCACCGTTTTATTGGTATTCGAAGCGTGAAGGGAGATGTCAAAATTCGTACATTCATGGCGGGAAGAGAGGAAAAGTGAAGAGTAAAGCAATGATTGACGTACCAAATGGGAGACAGAAAGGAAGATTAAACGATGTCTAAATTAATCTAATCGAATAACTGTATTTTTCTTTGTGGTCTAGATATATGTTTAACCTAATTATAACGTCGAGTATGCCTTGTTTGTTTTCCTTCGCCGCTAGTTTTGGTGTCTATCAAGTTCTTTCATATAACAAATTTTATTTTTGATGAGATAATAATCTCCAAAGACTGAACAATAACATAAAAATTTACACATTGATAACTTTTTTTTAAAGACAAATTTTACTAATTGAAACCTGAAACAAGACAATAACCGTCGTATCTTCTTCATCTAGAACCGTTGTTGTATCTTCTTCATCAGACAAGTCAAGAGCTAAGAACCTATTCTTATTCAAAGATGAGGTAGACAGAGACTTCTGAACAGCATGAGCCGCTCTACCAGATAAACGAGTTGCTTGATTGGTAGTAAGAGTCTCTCTTGGCGAGACCATTAAGGAAGTAGTCGTATTATTATTTAACCCTTCTTCAAAAAAGTAGCCGTATTAGGAAGAGGGGTTGTAGAGTGAATACCTGAGGAGGCCGTATGAACCATAGTGCTAGAAACATGAATCAGATCGTTTCCGATTTCCTTCTCCCTCCTTTCCAAAGATGTTTCCATAACTTAAAGCAGACGAAGCATGGGATCGTGGACATAGGAGCATTAGGGCATTTCTTTTAACAAATCTGCTTGAGTCAGAAGCATTAGGGCATTTCTTTGACCTTTGCAGCAGGAGTACCTGCTTGGCCTGAGATATCCGGACATAGGAGGAGCCACCGAGAAGGTTTGTGACCTATATGTCCACAACGACTACAATTTTAAGGTACAGAGATCGTATCTGAAGGTGACCAAGGAGATACAAACATCAAGCAGTCGTCAACATGCCACAAACCTCTCTGAAGGACCCATTTACGGGTTGGCTCGTGTGGAATGTGGGATAAGATTCCGAATGAAGATTCATTTCCTTCCCCAAATCCTCTAGAAGGAGCTGAGCAGCGGTAAAATTGACCTACCACAAATTCTCTTTGGTTCTCTAAACCACCTAGAAGAACATGAGAAGGTATTCTAACCTCCAAGTACTCAGGAATGGTTACTCTATGAAGATTTCTCAGAGATTGGTTCATCCTTGCTGTCCAAGGATACTCTTTGGAGTGAGCTTTAAGTGAAGCAGCTTCAGCTTCAGAGAAGTGAGAGGTTGTTAACTTCTGAGCCAAAGCAGAGAATAACTAGACCGAGAGTTTCCCTGAATCCCTCTGGGAAGGGCTGGCCATTGGGAATTTTCAGAGGTCAACAAAGGATCTTCTGCAAGATGATGAAGAGGAGCAGAATTAATCGCAAGAGGCAGGAGTGAAGCTTTTCGATTAGAGGTCTCAGGAACAAAAGGTAGGCTTTTCTCTTGAATAGGAATAATTATCGTTTCAGACTTTCTTTCACAGTTGTCATGATGCAGAATTGTAGCCATGATTGAGAGGTGTCATCGATTTTCCACAACAAAGCAGAGATTTTTAAGAAGATTTGGGCTTCACCAGACAGAGGATTCGACGAGGGTGGAGAGTTCGTCGACCATCGATGCAGATGAGGCCAACGCGGATCTTGAGAAGATTCCGAAACTAAGGACTTGAGTGTCGGGATGCTTTGCCTGATAGAGCTTGACGAGAGAGTCGATGGTAAGAGAGTCGCTGATATTGAGGGGGTCGAATCCAATCTCATTTGCCAACTGTATTCCAGAAAGGATAAGGGAGAACTAAGAGAGGAGAGGAGAGAATCCACCGGTAAAAGAAACCGGCGGCGGAGCCGCCAAGAGAGTCAAAGGAGAAAAGATTTTAGGGTTGTCTCGATAAATGGGCCTGGGAGCGTTTTTCGTTTTACTCTTTTGTGTGGTATGGTGCCGCTTGATTGCCAATTTGATTATTTAATCGATCGATTCCTCCGTGTTTATGTTTGAACATTTGCGCTGTGAACGAAATCGACGACGAGGAGCCTCCTCGAGATCTTCAAAACCGAGTCGAGAGGTTGGGGAGTGAGATCTCTCAGCTCGATACCTTCGGGTAGCTTCATATGCGAGTACGTCGGCGAGCTTTTGGAGGATAAAGAAGCCGAGAGAAGAACAGGGAACGACGAGTATCTCTTTGACATTGGGAACAAATACGACAACACTTTAGCTGAAGGGATGTCGAAGCTAATGCCAGGGATGGAGAAAGAGAAAGAAGAAGAAGAAGATGGTGACGATGGTGGTGAGATGACGGGGTTCACCGTCGATGCCGCGAAGAAAGGGAACATAGGGAGGTTTATAAACCATAGCTGCTCGCCGAATCTGTATGCACAGAATGTGTTGTATGAACATGAAGACAAGAGGATCCCTCACGTGATGCTCTTTGCGATGGACAATATACCTCCGCTTCAAGAACTCACTTACCATTACAATTACATGATCGACCATGTGCGCGATGTTAACGGTAATATCAAGAAGAAGATTTGCTACTGTGGTTCTTCTGAGTGTACCGGTAGGCTCTATTAATCGATTACCCTCAAACTTTTTCTCCTCCGTTTTAAACTCAGATTCTTCTTGTTTTTATGTTATTTATCAATATGTTGTACCGTAGTGTCTATATAAATTAATATACCATATATCAACAGCTAAGAACAGAACCGATGTAAGAATCAATGCTGTTTTTCTCCAAATCCTGCATATACAACAACAATGGAGAATTTTGGTTTCTGTTTTCACTTTCAAGTATTAGCGATGACAAGAAGAGATCTTTTTTTTTGAATCGCCAAATATGTGAATCCCAACGGTAGAGAGAGCCCTATACCACATATGGCGAGAGAGAAACAACATACGTCATGGAGAACACCCTTCATCGGCTTCTCAACTAATCAAGCTCATCGACAAAAATGTCCGGAATCGAATCAGCACAATTCGCTCTGGAGGTGATCAAACTTATGCTGATGGACTTATCAAGTGGTTTGCCACACGATAGAAAAGCTGCAGCTCTCTTCTTTCTTTTTCAAAGCTTATATTCTCTAAGTTCAAAATTCAGTTAGTAAATTTCAGCAAACAGATGCAATCTTTTTAAACAAGTTTTTTTGGTTTATATAAATTTAACATTCATTCAAAAAAAAAAAACACACACATAGTTCACAGGAGCATGAAGAAGAAGAAAGATAGACGAAATCTGTTATGGTAAATATATCTCTTTTGATACATCCTCTTATGATTGGACCTTAACTAAGTATAATCATGTCCAACAAATAAACAGGAATACATTTATGCTATAAATACATAGAAATACATTGGCTAAAGACAAAGTAAAAGAGAAAAACAGAGTAAACGGAAACAATAACTGAAATCAAGACGCTGATAAATGGGTTGCCTTCTCCCCCAAGCTTCTTTCTCTCCGGTCCATTTGGTTTGGTTGCAAAGATTCTTCAAGTTGGGTTTACGAAGGCTACACAAACAAAATATACGTTAGTTTCACTTATTCAATCATCCACAAAATCCTATTATATATAATATATTCTTTCAAATTCAGAACATTACCTCTCTAATTAGCTGTGGTGCTTCTTCTTCTTCTGCGTTTGTTTTGACCAAAAGAACTCGTGAACCACTCTGGTTTGTATGAAACCAATATGTATCCAATCGTCAACCCAAACGCAATCCCAGGTACAAATCCTATTGCAGCTGCAATCCAACTTAACACCTCTTCATCTTCTTCTTCTTTTGGTTCTGGCGTTTCAGACTGCTGCGATGAAGGCTTGTGGATATCTCCGCAATCATCTTCAAGAGCAGGGCCGAAAAGTCCCAGGTTGTCTCCGAATGAAGAGCAGTTCTGCCTTCGAAACTGACTGCCTCCTGGTACTAGACCTACAAGCTGGTTATGGGAGAAGTTCATGTACGAAAGGAATGAGAGATTCCCTAGCTCTTGTGGAATTTCTCCAGAAAGCTTGTTTTGGGAAACGTCTAGTGACTCGAGAGCTGTCATGTTCCCCATGGACGATGGTATGTGGCCAGTGAAAGCATTGTTTGACAAGTTGAGCACGTGAAGCTCTTTCAATAGGCCGATGGACTTTGGAATCTTGCCTTCAAATTTGTTTCCAGAGAAGTCGAGTGCTGTGAAGATTTTCAGGATACGTTCCAGCTCCATCTCTATTCCTTTATTCATCAAAACCATTGAATCTTTGTAATAGCCGAATTGATCTCCCATATAACATTCTTTAGGCTGATCTTCGTATATACCAAGTGATGACATTGAACTCCAGTTCTCAAAATAATCAGATGGCAGAGTTCCATTGAATTGATTGTGTGATATGTCCATGATCTTCAGCGTAAGGAATATTCCTTGATGTATCAACCCATGGAATGCATTGGAGCGCAAGACAAGAACTTTCAGGTTTTGTAGAGAACTCAACCAGAACGGAAACGTGTCGTTGATTCTGTTGCTTTCCACATGCAGAACTTCGAGAGCGGAGAAATGGATCAAAGATCTTGGAAGCTTTCCCACCAGTTGGTTATTTCCAAGGTCAAGCGTTCTTAGACCTTTAAATACATTCTTCGGAAGACCTCCACTAAGACGGTTCTGACGTAGGTTCAGAACTGAGAGATTGCTCTTGAGATTACCCATACAAAGAGGGATTGAACCATTGAAATTGTTGGTTGATAAATCGAGAATGGTTAGAGAGTGGAACTCGCATATGAGAGAAGGAATCTCTCCTGTGAAGTTGTTTTTAGAGCCAAACAAGTACTCCAGGGCAGAGGATAGTCCAAGTTTCGTTGATCTTTCAAAGTTGACGAAAGTGTTGTTGGAAAAATTCACGTACGTCAGATTTGGTAGCGTCCATAACCAGCCAGGAACTTGACCTTTGATTTCGTTGTTGGAAATGTCTAGAGTCCTCATACTATGTTGGGTTCTCAGAAGTTCTGGAAATTGGGTAATACCGCAGCCTGACAAGTTTAAATAAGATATCATTTGTGAAGGAGAATCTGAAACTGAACTTTTGTTGTTTGTGGCTAAAACATGGTTTCCCGAGAGATCCAATACTTCAAGCGACTTGGAACATGATAAGATAGCATGCAAGTCAATCGTTGTTGTGGTGTTCAAATGGGAGAGGCGAAGATACTGGAGCGACTTAAGATGCGAGAAGATACTGAGGTCAACTGGGCCTTGGGTGTTCCAATGGGAAAGCTGAATATACTCAAGATTTACTAATTTGGAAATGGATCCAGGGATTGGCCCTCTGAAGTTGTTACCGTCAAGGAATAACCACTCTAGCTTAAATGGTGAAGATATATTCCCAAACTCAAGAATGCCGTTGAGTTGGTTATTTGACAAAAAAATATTTATTAAAGAAGGAATGTTGAAGAGAGAAGAAGGAACAGTTCCAACAAAATTGTTATCATATGCGTCAAAATCCTCCAAGTTGGAGAGTGAACTAATGTTTGGAGGAAGCGTTCCTGTGAGTTGATTGGAGTTCAGTAATAAATACGATAACTTTGTCAAATTAAGTAGTACAACAGGAAAGTTACCACTAAGCTTAATGGATCCTAAATATAAGTGGGTCAACTGTTTCAAACTGCCCAAAGAAGATGGGATTTCACCATCGAAATTGTTATAACCCAGGTTAAGATATTCGAGACGAGAGAGCTTTGTAATTGAGGATGGAATCTGCCCCGAAAACTGATTATTAAAAAGGGAGAGAGAGGTGAGATATGTAAGGTTTCCAATTGAGGATGGAATCTGACCAGAAAACCGATTAGAAGAAAGGCGGAGAGAGGTGAGATTCGAAAGAGTTCCAATTGAAGATGTAATCTGGCCAAAAAGATGATTACAAGAAAGGTTGACAGAGGTGAGATTAGAAAGTTTTCCAATGGAGGATGGGATTTGACCATATAAATCATTATATGAAAGGTCTAGAGAAGATAGAAAAGGAATGTTTTGAAAGGTATTCGAATGAAACCTGCCATGGAGGCAGCTGCAACTGAGATCTAGCTCTATCACTTCCCCAGAACTGGCATCGCACCTGATACCATCCCAATAACAACAATCACTGTTATTTCCCCATGACTCCGTCTTCGGATGAGGCTTTACATAGCTACCATTAACATAACAGTCATAAGAAAAAGAAGGCTTCCGAATCTCAAACTCGTTCTTGAACTTGAGAAGTGCATCTCTTTGTTCTGGACGACACACATGTCTAATAGGAACCGCAGACATGTTTTGTAAATAAAGTATGAAAGAGAAGAGAAAAGAAAAAGTAATACGAATGGTCCTCATTGAGTTCCAGGAGCCTTTCGTTCTTCTTCTTTAAGCTAATTTAATTTTCTTGAATATCAATAATGAAGAAGCGAAAGATGGAAATGGTGATAATAAAACATGGTTTCATGCCCATCTCTTTATATACATTGCATATAGAGTGCTCCAGCTTCACTCAGATTGACTCACTATCAAGTCTTTGTATGGAGTATTATTCACGTTGAGCAAAGAGAGTAAATGTATTTGTGTTCCAAACATTTTGGTCCAACCAAATTAAAAGATATACACAACCAAATTAATGAAAAATAAATTAGATATACATTACAAAAAGAATACAAGTCAAGAAGAGACGATTTGTTATGGGTAATGATAATCATGTGGTCGATGTAAAGAGAGCTCTCAGGAAGAAGATAAGGTTCAGAGCAGTGTTGGCTTACTTTTCAAGTCATCGTCTTTCGTCTTTTCCCCCGTGAAACAAAACTCACCAGTCAATATTGCTGAATAGTTTGAGAAATCTATTTGTTTGTTTGTTTGGTTTCATTTGTCATGATACATTTTTTTTCTTTGTTCGAGTTTGATTTCTATGATTTGTTCAATTGCGTTGTGATACTAAAAATAGATTAATCTAATCGAATTACTGTATATTTCTTTGAGGTCTAGATATATGTTTAAACTAATTATAACGTCGAGTATGCCTTGTTTGTTTTCCTTCGCCCCTGGTTTTGGTGTCTATCGAGTTCTTTCATCTAACCAATTTTATTTTTAATAGTCTCCAAAGACTAAACAATAACATAAACTTTTACACTGAAAGTTGTCTTAGGTAAGGTTGATAACTTGGTTTAGTAACAACAAAAACAACACAAAATATGATACAGTACTAGAGTATATATTCTGTGAACTTAACTGTACTGTTCATTTCTGATAAGTTCTCATCTTGTTTATAAGATTATTATGAAAAGGCACGATGAGTTTATTTTGTTTATTGTTGTTGATTTCTATGATTATGTTCATTGCTAATTCTGTTTATAAGCTTATCAGCATTTGTGTTCATAGTCGCTGATAAGTAATTCTCCTACAAAATCATTGATTAGCTGATTATGTTTACTGTTGAACATCGATCCAATTATCTTCTTTAGAATAAGCATGCAAATAAAAACTATGATGCGCACTATGGACAGAAGGCATGCAAATATATTATTTTGAAAGCACTGCAAAACCAACGAGAAGCCAAAGAGAATAAGTATTATCTCTTCTTGGAACTGAGATGAAGTATCACTTTCTTGCAACACAAGCATCTATTACTGTGTCTCTATCTGATTTGTCACAGTACCTGTGATTGTTTTAGCTGTCTGGTAGACAAAGTCAGGAAGGAAGTCAAGCCAGAATAAAGAAGACTTTTTTTTCACTATATAAAAAAGGAATTATACTATTTATTGATTCAAGAGAGTACTTATTAGTTTGTTTTCCTAGCAAGATTTATCCAAAATGGTAATGTTCAAAGTTTTCCCACTCTTTCACGCCAATATATATATATGCAAACAACTCTTAAGAATTTTTGATCATCGACAAACAATTTTGCTCTGCTTTTATATATTATTGATTAAGATAAACAAATAAAAAAAACAATGAAAAACTCTATTTTAGATCAATGGTATTTCAACCCGAAGGTGGGGCATGCTAGAACCCCAATCTCGAACACCAAGTTACGGGTCCAGGTGGGTCTGGGTAGCGAGGACACCAACCATAGGTGGGTCCTGTGATATCCTGGAGGCCCGAAGAATGCCATGTAAATACCTCGGTGGCCGGGGATCGAACCTAGGTGGCGGTACTCACAGCCGTGAGCCCATTACCACCAGGCCACAACCGCCCGGTTCTATAACGATTTTTTCATATGTTTTAGGAAGGCGGTATATGAGAATTCATGAGAAAGCAGAAGATTTTTCTTTAGAGAATAATCCAGTGAAAGAAGACGACAAGAACAAGAACATAAATTCAGAAGAAAACCATATCGAGAAGAATCTATAGGAAAGAAGGTAAAGAATTGAGAAGAAGCACAGTGATCACATTCTCTATAACCAAAAAGAGAATTGTAAGCCTGAAACGTGTAATTCAAGTTTTTCCATGCAAATTTGAAGCTTTTGTGTGTGGGTTATTTATCCAGTTAAACTATTTCTATATTTGCTACCAAATTAATATTAGTAATTTGCAGTTCTATTGACGATTCATCCATATATGATATGATCTATGAGCATCCAATCACCATTCACTCTATAGTTTTAACTGTACAATTACAAACAGATTTCTCTATTTTTGCTATATAGTACTTATTTATGGAGTGACAATCGATTCTTCTCGCCTCCTCTGCTTCTCACTCTCACTTTCTTCTTCATTGGACCGATCTACACTGTTTATAAATATCCCTGCCAAAACAAAATTCGCAACAAAAACAACTTCTTGATTTTGGACAAGAAAAATTTATTCAGGTTCAAGAATTCAGATTTGCTTTTACCTATAAACCATATTGCAGCAGCTAAGAACAGAACCGATGTAAGAATCAATGCTGTTTTTCTCCAACTGTTGATATGATCCTGCACATACAACAACAATGGAGCAATCTTGGTTTCTGTTTTCTCTTTTCAAGTATTGGCGATGACAAGAAGAGATCTCTTTTTTTTACCTGAACGATACCGACAAGAGGAGAAGAAGGAACATCGCCAAATATGTGAATCGCAACGGTAGAGATCGCCATTGATAATGGTCTTAAACTTGGTTCCACACAATGCAAACACACATAATTCACAGGAGCCTGAAGAAGAAGAGAAGAAGAAAATTGAGAAATATAACAATATTACAACAACACTAAGGCTCCAAGTTATTTACCTGTGTAGCAAAGACAAGAAGCTCTCCTAAGGCAAAGAGAGCGATGAAACCGTATAAAATCTTTAAGGTAAATGCAGTGAAGCAAAAGATCGCTCCAAGAAACGTTGCTCCGGATAAAAGCTGCATACATACGTATCAATCAAAAGGTTTTGATTCAAAATCCGAAAACAAGAAGAGAGAAAAAGCTTTACTTCTTCACCTTGAAAGCATTTGGAATCGTTGCAGTGACACGATTGAGTATAAACCCTCCTGATAATGACCCAATGACCCCACAAATGATAGTTACTGCCCCAAAGATCATATCGGCGTTTTTATGACAAGATAAAGTTTCTTATCAGAAAACAAAGTTTCAAGAACTCTCAAGAAGAAAGATTGATAGCAACAAAACAAATGTTTCACCATTTTGTAAATGTTATAACCAGCCTTTGGTCCCCAATACGAGTATGCTCCAATAACAAAGTTGTATGAGACATAACCTGTTAAGACCAAGTTATATCATCAACCATGGAGAAGATAAGTAGGAAGAATAGTGAAAGCAAAGAGGGCAAAAATTATTACCTAAGACATTAACAACAAAGAATTTTTCTTTACATAGAACTTTCATATTTTTCCCAAATTGAGTAAACGATTTCGAAACTACGTTCTTGTAACTTGACCTGTCACAGTTGAAGTAAAAAAAAATTTGATAAAACTAATACAAAACGTATGGAAGAAAAGTTTTAAGATAAATGAAATCAAACTCACTTATAAGTTTCAATGGAGACCTCAATCTCATTACCACCAGCTTGAAGATGTTTGTTGTTTTTACCAACTGATGAAGCCATCTTTATCGAATCAGTAGAAGGAAACCCTGTTTCATTTTCTTTTCTCAGATCACAATATCTTTTAACAGTTTATTCTTTTAATAACACAAGACAGAATCTGTTCTTCACCTTTTAACTGTAAAGGTTTCATCAAGAAACCAAGAACAGCAAATGGAGCCATTAATACAGCTTCTCCCCAAAACGCATAGCGCCAACTAAAATGTTTTCCAAACTGAAAATCACAAATTTTGAACCTTAAAGACAACTTTCTATAAACTAATGTCATAGTCCCAACAATATACATATGTATCCGCCATAGACATAGCCCAAAGCAACACCACTTGGTATACACATGTAGAACACACCAAGCCACACAGCTTTCTGAAGTTAAAAGCAAAAAGGGTTAATCAGAAATAGACGAATGTTGCATTTTGAATCCATAAGATGTGCAAAAAAACGGTTAATAGAGAAACCTGTTTGTGAGGAGCATTATCATCTATAAACGGAGCTGCAAGACTGATGAAAGAAGCTTCACCTACACCAACGAACCTATCGAGTAATAATAGCCATACAAATCAAAATTTGGAGAAAACAAAGTCAAACCATAAACAAGAACAAAACTTAACTTACATGCGACATAAGACGATAAACCAAAAGGCAAAGGAACTGCCACAACCAAGAACTGCAACAGTCCAAACAGTTAAGCCTACTCCAATAAGTCTAAATGGATTGAAACTGCACTAAAAAACAATAAACAACTTCAATAAGCTATGTTTTGTTTAGGCCTTAGAAGAAAAAAAATGAAAAATGTTTCCTAACCTTTTTGCTAATGAAGCAAAGATTGGTGATGCAATAAGAAGTCCAACCATAAATGAAGATGACAATACACCATCTTCGAAATTACTTAGATTGAAATGTCCCCTAGAAAAAGCAACAAATTTGAGTAAAACATAGCAGTAAATATAAAAGCTCTAGGCCTTAAACAACCAAACTCTTACTGAATCCCAGTTGCAGGGTTGCATTTGCCCTTATCATTACAAGTCCTGATATTTCCATTGAAACCATTGCTCGCTATAGCACCACGGTCCATGTAGTTTAACAAGTTAATGATGCAGAAGATCACAAGTAACCTGAAAAAAAAAGAGTTTTGATGAAGATAATGATGCAGCAAAGAAATACAGAATTATGTGTCAAAGACCAAACCAGTATCTTTAGCATATATAAATTGGAATGCAAAGAGATCAAAACACACAATCACAAATGAGATACAGAGTCTTTAACAGAAGAACAAAGACAAATCATGGGAAAAGCTTTCAACTTTGCACCGTTTTATTGGTATTCGAAGCGTGAAGGGAGATGTCAAATTCGTACATTCATGGCGGGAAGAGAGGAAAAGTGAAGAGTAAAGCAATGATTGATTATGGTCTAAACAGAAAGGAAGATTCAACGATGTCTAAATTAATCTAATCGAATTACTGTATATTTCTTTGTGGTCTAGATATATGTTTTAAACTAATTATACCGTCGAGTATGCCTTGTTTTTTTTCCTTCGCCCCTAGTTTTGGTGTCTATCAAGTTCTTTCATCTAACAAATTTTATTTTTAATGAGATAATAATCTCCAATGACTGAACAATAACATAAAAATTTACACATTGATAACTTTTTTTTAAAGACAAATTTTACTAATTGAAACCTGAAACAAGACAATAACCGTCGTATCTTCTTCATCTAGAACCGTTGTTGTATCTTCTTCATCAGACAAGTCAAGAGCTAAGAACCTATTCTTATTCAAAGATGAGGTAGACAGAGACTTCTGAACAGCATGAGCCGCTCTACCAGATAAATGAGTTGCTTGATTGGTGTTAAGAGTCTCTCTTGGCGAGACCATTAAGGAAGTAGTCGTATTATTATTTAACCCTTCTTAAGAAAGTAGTCGTATTAGGAACCATAGTGCTAGAAACATGAATCAGATCGTTTCCGATTTTCTTCTCCCTCCTTTCCAAAGATGTTTCCATAACTTAAAGCAGACGAAGCATGGGAGTTGTACTTTTAACAAATCTGCTTGAGTCAGAAGCATTAGGGCATTTCTTTGACCTTTGCAGCAGGAGTACCTGCTTGGCCTGAGATATTCGGACATCAGAGGAGACAGCGAGAAGCTTTGTGACCTATATGTCCACAACGACTACAATTTTAAGGTACAGAGATCATATCTAAAGGTGACCAAGGAGATACAAACATCAAGCACTAGTCGTCAACATGCCACAAACCTCTCTGACGGACCCATTTACGGGTTGACTCGTGTGGAATGTGGAATAGGTACGTTGACTCTCCTAATTTTCGAATGAAGATTCTGTATTTCCTTCCCCAAATCCTAGTTACTATCGACTGAGTAAACCCTCTAGAAGGTAAAATTGACCTACCACAAATTCTAAACCACCTAGAAGAACATGAGAAGGTATTCTAACCTCCAAGTACTCAGGAATGGTTACTCTATGAAGATTCCTCAGAGATTGGTTCATCCTTGCTGCCCAAGGATACTCTTTGGAGTGAGCTTTACGTGAAGCAGCTTCAGCTTCAGAGGAGTGAGAGGTTGTTAACTTCTGAGCCAAAGCCATTGGGACTGAGAGTTTCCAGATTTCATCAAAGGACCTTCTGCAAGATGATGATCCCTTGGAGATTGGCAGGAGTGAAGCTTTTCGATTAGAGGTCTCAGAATTGTAGCCATGACTGAAGCGGAATCAGAGGTGTCATCGATTTGCCCTGCAGCTAGAGAGAGAATTTGGGCTTCACCAGACAGAGGATTCGACGAGGGTGGAGAGTTCGCCGACCATCGATGCAGATGAGGCCAACGCGGATCTTGAGAAGATTCCGAAACTAAGTTGATTTGCCTGAAAGAGCTTGACGAAAGAGTCGATGGTAAGAGGGTCGCTGATTTTGAGGGGGTCAAATCCAATCTCCTCTCCGATGAAGGCATGAGAAAATCGTAGTCATTTGCTGAGATTTCACCGGAAGACATGGGCCAAATGTATTTCAGAAAGAATAAGGGAGAACTAAGAGAGGAGAGGAGAGAATCCACCGGTAGAAGAAACCGGCGGTAGAAACCGGCGGCGGAGCCGCCAAGAGAGTCAAAGGAGAAAAGATTTTAGGGTTGTCTCGATAAATGGGCCTGGGAGCGTTTTTCGTTTTACTCTTCTGTGTGGTATGGTTTGCAATCTCTGTGCTCTCTCTCTCTCTCTCTCTCTCTAAATCTGTTTCTTGCTTGATTGCGAATTTGATTATATAATCGATCGATTCCTTCGCGTTTATGTTTGAACGATTAATGTTTAGAGAGATTGCCCATTTGCGCGATGATCTAAGCCTCATCCGTTCATCTGCACGGCTAAGATGATTTACCCAAAGATGATCCCTCCAAAGGCACGAAGCGATGCACGGAGAGTAGAAACTGCGCCTGCACGAAGTCATCGTCTTTTGTCTTTTCCCCCGTGAAACAAAACTGATAAAAAAGTAGTATGTATTTTGTTTATTTCTGATTATGTTTATTGCTAAACATTGATTCAGTGAACTTAACTGTACTGTTCATTGCTGATAAGTTCTCATCTTCTTAATAAGATTATTATGAAAAGGCATGATGAGCTTATTTTGTTTATTGTTGTTGCTTTCTGTGATCATGTTCATTGTTAATTCTGTTGTGTTCATAGTCGCTGATAAGTTATCTCCTACAAAATCATTGATTAGCTGATTATTTTTACTGTTGAACATTGGTCCAATTATCTTATTTAGAATAAGCTGCTCCATTGAAAACTATGGACTAAAAGGCTGCAAATAATTTATTTTGAAAGCTCTGCAACACCAACGAGAAGCCAAAGAGAATAAGTATTATCTCTTCTTGGAACTGAAATGAAGTAGCGCTTGCTTGCAACACAAGCATCTATTAATGTGCCTCTATCTCATCTTGTATCATGTATTCCAATGTGATCTTAATAAAATTCAGTTGAAAAAAAAAATTAGGAAACAAATCGCAAATTTGATCCTTTGTTTCCTTCAAATGTTCTCAATCAAATCAAACTTCCTGATTTGAGCTAGAATCGAATTCGAGTTCTGACTATTGAGAAACTTCAGGCAGATCGAAATCCGATTCATCATCATCTTCTTCTCCGCCTCGATCGCTCTTCTCATCGGTAAATATTGTCCCTTACCTTAATCTTGGTCTGTTTCCCACTCTTTTGCTGCTACGAGATTCGAATTTGACTATATAATCGATCGATTCCTTCGCGTTTCTGTTTGAACGATTGATGTAATTGAGAGATCGTGATGTTGTCCTGCATGAATCGGAAATTTGGTGTTTTGTTTCCGCGAATTCTTAGCTTAGAATCATTGAAAACGAAAATCTCGCTTAGGATTTGAACATTCGTGTGCTGTGGTTTTTGATTTGCCAAATTGTTCATTGTTGCAGGACAAATCTGGTGGTGTGCGTCTCTTTGATGAGTTTTGGAATGGGTGTAGTGGAAAACATGGTGAACACAGAGTCATCGAAAGTTAGTTCATTGAGCAAAAGTAATGTCTCTGAGCGAAAGTAATGTTTCTGAGCCAAAGAGGAAGAAAACTTGGAAAAGCGAGATGATGTAATGATGATATGGAACTCAATCAAGTTCTCGCGCAAGAACCGAAGAAAGAGGAATGTTCAGCCTCTGAGCATTTGTTTGCCAGATTGGTTCTTTTGAAGAGCCAAACGTTGTGAAGACGAAAGAGCGAAGAAACTGCGCCTGCATGGCGAGAAACGGAGGAGAGATACCTTACAACTAGGATGGGAACATAGTTTACCCAAAGAGCTTGATCTACGAGTGTGGCCCTCTCTGCAAATGCCCTCCTGCTTGCTACCTAAGAGTCACACAGCGAGGGATCAGGTTCAAGCTCGAGATCTTCAAAACCGAGTCCAGAGGCTGGGGAGTGAGGTCTCTCAGCTCGATACCTTCGGGTAGCTTCATATGCGAGTACGTCGGCGAGCTTTTGGAGGATAAAGAAGCTGAGAGAAGAACAGGGAACGACGAGTATCTCTTTGACATTGGGAACAAATACGACAACACTTTAGCTGAAGGGATGTCGAAGCTAATGCCAGGGATGGAGAAAGAGAAAGAAGAAGAAGATGGTGGCGATGGCGGTGACACGACGGGGTTCACCGTCGACGCCGCGAAGAAAGGGAACATCGGGAGGTTTATAAACCACAGCTGCTCGCCGAATCTGTATGCGCAGAACGTGTTGTATGATCATGAAGACAAGAGGATCCCTCACGTGATGCTGTTTGCGATGGACAATATACCTCCGCTTCAAGAACTCACTTACCATTATAATTACATGATCGACCAGGTGCGCCATGTTAACGGTAATATCAAGAAGAAGATTTGCTACTGTGGTTCTTTTGAGTGTACCGGTAGGCTCTATTAATCGATTTAGCCTCAAACTTCTTCTCCCCTGTTTTAAACTCAGATTCTTCTTGTTTTTATGTTATTCATCAACAGTTTATGTTACACCGTAGAATCTATATAAAATAATATACCATATAGTAGCAGCTAAGAACAGAACCAATGGAAGAATCAATGTTGTTTTTCTCCAACTGTTGATATGATCCTGCATACACAACAACAATGGAGCATTTTGGTTTCTGTTTTGTTCTTTCAAGTATTGGCGATGACAAGAAGAGCCTGAAGAAGAAGAAAGATAGACGGAATCTGTTATGGTAAATATATCTCTTATGATTGAACCTTAACTATGGATAATCATGTCCATCAATTAAACAGGAATACATTTGTGCTATAAATTCATAGAAATACAAACATTGGCTAAAGAAAAAGTAAAAGAGAAAAACAGAGGAAAGAACACAACAAAAACAGAGTAACCGGAAACAATAACTGAAATCAAGACATTGATAAATGGGTTGCCTTCTCCCACAAGCTTCTTTCTCTTTCCCAAAGATTCTTCAAGTTGGGTTTACGAAGGCTACACAAACAAAATATACGTTAGTTTCACTTATTCATTCATCAAGAGAATTCTATTATAATATTTTTTTTTTCAAATTCTGAACATTACCTATCTAGTTAGCTGTGGTGCTTCTTCTTCTTCTGCGTTTGTTTCGGCCAAAAGGACTCGTGAACCACTCTGGTTTGTATGAAACCAATATGTATCCAATCGTCAACCCAAACGCAATACCAGGTACAAATCCTATTACAGCTGCAATCCAACTTAACACCTCATCATCTTCTTCTTCTGGTTCTGGCGTTTCAGACTGTTGCGATGAAGGCTTGTGGATATCTCTGCAATTATCTTCAAGTCCCGGGTTGTCTGCGAAGGAAGAGCAAGGCTGCGTTCGAAACTGAGCGCCTCCGGGTACCAGACCCACAAGCTGGTTATGGGAGAAGTTCATGTACGAAAGGAATGAGAGATTCCCTAGCTCTTGTGGAATTTCTCCAGAAAGCTTGTTTTGGGAAACGTCTAGTGACTCCAGAGCTGTCATGTTCCCCATGGACGATGGTATGTGGCCATTGAAAGCGTTGTTTGACAAGTTGAGCACGTGAAGCTCTTTCAGTAAGCCGATGGACTTTGGAATCTCGCCTTCAAGTTTGTTTCCAGAGAAGTCGAGTGCTGTGTAGATTTTTAGGATACGTACCAGCTCCATCTCTATTCCTTTATTCATCAAAACCATTGAATCATGGTAATAGTCTAATTGATCTCCCATGTAGCGTTCGTTGGACTGATCTTCATGGATCCCAAGTGATGACATCGAACTCCAGTTCTTAAAATAATCAGATGGCAGAGTTCCATTGAATTGATTGTGTGATATGTCAATGATCTTCAGCGTATGGAATATTCCTTGATGTATCGACCCATGGAATG